CCCCCCCCTCTCCGAGCCAGGAGGCAGCACGGGACAGACATCTGGCTGGCCTGGATAGCAAGGGAGCCATTCCATAGAGCCGGTGTAAGGGGCACAGCATTGCAGCCAGCGGTTATTAATCAGGTGACCGCGCTGACCAATGACTGCTTGCATTATTCCATATGCAGAGTGCGATGCTGCGTACGGGACGCATACTTGCTGCAGTAGGGGGGTGGCGGCTCCCCCAAAGGTATGACTATGAGAATTCGGTCTGTGGGGAGTAATTTCACTTTCCCGCATTTGCTGAGAAAAAAACTGGACTTGCCCTTTAAGTTTGGGAAGGTGAGCGGGTTGAGTCTCCTGGAGAAAGCGGTCACTGAGTGTGAACTGTGATAAGAGTCGGGGGAAACCTCACATGTCGGCCATATTCGGTTAAACGTTACCTTCTTTTATCTGCCTAGATTAGGAGGGTCATTAATACGAGAGACATTCTGTAAACATGAGCTGCGTATTTATAAGTCGTCTCTGCTCCGCCTCCTTCCATGTGTGACCAATCAAATCCTACGATCCCATCTCCCAATACTGATCATATTGCAGAAAGAGTCGAGGGGTCGGCAAACTCCAGCTGTGCTGAAACTACAAATCCCATGATGCCTCTGTCTCTGGGAGACTCTTGCAATGGCTCATGGGACTTGAAGTACCACAACAGCTGGAGGGCCGATGGAAGGGGGCAGCTCGTGTAAGGGGGCGCTCTGACGGGGACAACCAGTGTAAGGGGGCGCTCTGACGGGGACAACCAGTGTAAGGGGGCGCTCTGACGGGGACAACCAGTGTAAGGGGGCGCTCTGACGGGGACAACCAGTGTAAGGGGGCGCTCTGACGGGGACAACCAGTGTAAGGGGGCGCTCTGACGGGGACAACCAGTGTAAGGGGGCGCTTGTAAGGGGGTAGATAATGTAAGGGGGCACAGTGACGGGGCAGTTGATTTAACCACTTCCAGCGGGTTCACGTAAATACATGTCACCCGCTGGAAGTGGTTATACCAATAACACGGCTGCTGCAGACGGTTGCTGTTTAAATGCAAGCGATCCGGCGTCTGTACAGGCATCTGATCCCTTGTACGGTGTGTTGCCGTATCCGTCCCCCCGAATCCCCTCCCTCTGCCGCCGTCGGCTTCCCGGGCTCCACTGTCCCCCGTGTGAGCCTGGGACTGGCGTGGAGGGTCTCCCCTGATGGATCGGGCTTCCAGCTGCTGATCTCTCCTCCGACCACTGGACCTGGAAGTGATGCGCATCACATCACTTCCGGTGTCACCGGGCACATTCTCCGGCTCTTAGAGCCAGAAGAAGCTGGTGAAGCAGATCTGTTCATCGGCTTCTTTGGGGTCCCTACGTGACATTAGGGGTATGACCCCGGATTTCTCCGTAAAGAGGACCTGTCACATTACATTTGCTATTGCATAGGGTGCTTGTTAGTCCCCTATGTGATAGCAATAAAGTTGAGTGTAAAAATTAAAGTAACAGATGAAAAAACTGTGTGTGCAAATGTAAGCAATGGCTCCGGGCAGGAAGGGGTTAAGAGGTCGCCCTGATGGGGACACCTGATGTGCTGCTAAGGGATATGAAAGGAAATGATGTCTTGTGTATAAAATGTTTGTGTAGTGCCAAGGGCCCGAAATCTACCCGACCTTTCTTCCTCTCCTGACAGAGATGGCAAAACTTGGCTTTGAGCTGATGCTGTGTCACGACGGAGATCTGGACCTGATAAAGGTATTTTGTTTTGTCTGATTATCTTTTTATATTTTCTCGCCATGAAAGCCCCATGGAATGATCCAATCCAGTGGTAGCCAAACTCCGGCCCTCCAGCTGTGGGAACTACAAATCCCGTCATGCATCCGCCTCTGGGAGTCGTGGCTGTGAAAATCTTTCAATGCCTCATGGGACTTGTAGTTCCACAACAGCTGGGAGGGCCTTTGCCCACCCCTGATCTAAGGGTTAAATACACCTGAAGGTGTTCAGACACTGCAGCTTTCCTCATTAGAACACTGAAATTACACCAGGTGGGTATAATAAACCCAGACCCTCCCGTTCAGGAACCGATGGTGCCTCCCCCCTCCCGTTCAGGAACCGATGGTGCCTCCCCCCTCCCGTTCAGGAACCGATGGTGCCTCCCCCTCCCGTTCAGGAACCGATGGTGTGTCCCCCCTCCCGTTCAGGAACCAATGGTGTCTCCCCGCACCACATGTGGGCGTTACCTTGGGTGGTGTAAATGCAGCCCGCCTAGGATCGCCCACTCAGCCAGACTGACACCCTCTCAAAGATCTCACAAGAATCAGCCCACTGCTTGCATCAGTACTCAGGTAGAAAGCTATATACAGCACCCTGCTGGCCCCTCCCTCCAGCCACGATCTGCCTGCATTGCATAAAGAAGCACAGAGACCCAGCTGATGTGTCATGGGAGGAGCCTGGGAAGGTGTCATGGGAGGAGCCTGGGAAGGTGTCATGGGAGGAGCCTGGGAAGGTGTCATGGGAGGAGCCTGGGAAGGTGTCATGGGAGGAGCCTGGGAAGGTGTCATGGGAGGAGCCAAGGAAAGCAAAATGTAAGCCGATGATATTGCTCTGCAGCCCCTCTGTTCCTGTCTGACCATGTGTATCATTTCCATCAGGGACACGCCCCCCCAAGCAGACAACTCCTTTTCATGGGACGCTTACTGGACATGATTCAGACGCCCCCCAATATATCCAGGAATTCGGGGATGGAATGCTCCTCTCAGGGGTAAGTCATGCTATTATGTCTTTTTTCTTTTCTGGTCTCAAAGAGCATTGAGCAATGTTGCACACGTCAGCAAATCAGTGGGGGGGGGGGGGAAAATGTTACACAAAAAAGTTAAATAACTTTAGCAGCCCTGAAGAGTAGGGATTCTCCGATACGTCTCATGATGAGGGAGCATGGAGCCGGCCAATCAGATAGCAGGGCGTCGCATCATTACACTGTGGCCGGCTTCCATGATTGGCCGGCCAGGCGGCTCCGGCTGGGTACCGGAGGAAGGCCGCGTTCTGGCTGGAGAGGCCCCCGGGGGTGACAGGCTGCGCATACCAAGGTAAGAGGGGGCAGACTTTCTTGTTAATCGGGAAGCCGGGCGGGCAGTCATTATACGCTTCCCGGCCAATCGGGTGGCGAGTCATTACACGCCGCCTGGCGTCCTGAATGGGACTTCCGTTACTCGGTATCGGTGAGTACCGAAAAAAAAATGATCAGTACGCGGTACCAAAATACCGGTATCGGTGCGTCCCTACTAAAGAGTAAATTCACTTTCCCCAAGTAATTTTGGAAAATGGAATTGCCTGCACACATCTGGCCCCTCCCACTTGCCTTTCAACGAACGGTCCTTCCCGTCCGCCAGTACGGATGCACTATCTGTTCCTGTTCCATGTATTCTGAATTTCGCTCGCAAATTGCAAGCACTCGTTGGTCAGCGTGGTCACCTGACGGCGCTGACCAATGAGAAGCTCTTTTTGGCATTGCTAAATACGGTTTTGGTTAAAATAATTGTTTTGTATCCGGGGGAAGTAGATGGTCATGTGACATCTGGCAGGCAGTGTCAAAGACGGCTACTGCCAGGTCCCCGGAAGGCTGCTTCAGGACCCCACAAGCATGAGACCTGAGGCAGCCTATTTAAAGGGCCAGTATCGGCCTTAATTATCGGGGCATTGCCATACTGGTATCGGGACATCCCTACTGTCTGCTGGGGAGAATTAGGTGCCGCGTCTCTTGCGTCTGTTGGGGAGTCTGTACTCTGCGACTTTCCACAATGAAGGACTGTGAGTTTGGTCGGGTATTGTATTTTATTTGGTGATTTCCAGGTTTCTGGGATCCGATGGAACGGTCGGAAGCGGCCTGATCTGTTGATTTTTTTTTTTTTTTTTTTACTGATTTGTAATATTTCCACTTTCAGCGTTGACGAAGCTTTCTTCACGAACGCCTACGAGAACGAGGAACTTCTGAAGGAGCTTTTCTCCAGCCCCCACTTCCAGGCAACGCTCGCCCCCGAGTGCAATCCCTGGCCAGCCGATCTGCAACCTTTACTGCTCAAAGAAGAATTGCAAGAGAGGTACGGCACATGTGACACACCAGCTAAATCCTTGTTCATTCTCCCCTCGTACTGAACCCGTATTATAATCCGAAATCTGACATTTCCTGTGCCCTTCCTATTGATTTCCCCTCTGTGCGAGGTGGCAGGGGCGCTGTGCAGCCACTTTCTGGGGATCCCTTCGTTCTGCAAACATCTGACTTTCACATTTGCATCACTTTATGGCCACTAGATGGCGCAGAGGAGCCATGGAGATTCCTATGCTGGTCAGCGCCATCTAGTGATCAGATGTTTGCAGTGCGAATGCCTCTGAAAACGTTTCTTATCGTGTTTCCCCGAAAATAAGACACTGTCTTATGTTTTTGTTTGCCCCAAAAAAACACACCTAGGTCTTATTTGGGGGGTAGGTTATTTTTTTTTTTTTTAATGTGTAACAATCCAAAGTTAATGCAAATCCTAACTAAATAATCCAAAATGGCAAAGTTAAGAATCGGGTGATCAGGGCAATCAGGGGTGCCGTACCTTTCCAGGAGGAATTTGGTAACCAGAATGGGCGAAGAGCGCTTTCACTATGGATTCCTCGCAGGCGGAGTGCATTTGGTATCACTCCGCCTGTGACAGGAGGCGGGGCTATAGAGGAAGCATCGGCTTATGCGACTCTGGTCCCTCCGCTGCCGCCTCACTTCCTCTAGCGCCGGCTTCGTTGGCACCGCCGATTCTCTCCTGCGGCTCTTCAAGTTCCCCCCTTATGCCGCCACCGGCCCTGGGAATGGTCACAACTAGGTCTTATTTTTGGGGTAGGTCTTATATTTGAGCAATTTCCAAAAATGGTATTAGGTCTTATTTTCGGGGAAACAGAGTAAATACACCCCTTGGGGTGGGGGATGGACACGAGGGTTTCTTCCGGTGAATCTGAACCCAATTACTAAAATCTCATATAAGCTTCATCAATTAAAGTGTGTGTGTGTGTGTGTGTGTGTGTGTGTGTGTGTGTGTGGCCTAGGCTTTCCTTCCCTCTTATGAGTTTGTCACTGTCCCCCAGTTGTGCTCCTGCATTGTCACCTTGTCATATACACCCCTGGTGGAGACCACAAGACGCTGTGCTCACGCACTTTGAGCAAGCATGGTCCCGCGTTGTCACGATCAGGAAGCCAGTTCAGAGTGATGATGTGTAGCTGACTCTGGTGAATGAATGTAGACAGGAAGAGGCTATTGGGGCTGCCATTGCTGACCTCCTCCTAAAGAATGACTGTCTGTGCCTTCAGTATTGGATTAGTGATTGATCGCAGATTAGAAAGTCGTAACTTCAGATCTGTGTAGTTCCAGCGCGCTCAATAAGCGTTCTCAAAAGATTTGCTGCTATGTAACTATAGCGACAGACCATCAATACAGAGGCCCCCGTACCAAGTGTGCATGCTCCAAAGCAGACTTTGCAGTACTTTTTTTTTTTTTTTTCAAAAATTGGGGAATCGCTGACCTGGAATAAGTTGTATGTGATATTGAGGTTGTCCTCCTCAACCACGGTGCCTTCTGGCCTCCTCAGGGGTACCTACCTCTGATGTGATAGAGGGGGACTCCCGATGTGTGTGTGTTCTTGCATGGGATTCCCTTTTAAAATTCATACCAGACCTGCTCTCCTGGACAAGGGTCTGGTAAGGATTTTGGAGAGACAACACGAGTTCGGCGCCCCCTTATCACCCAGGCCAACCTCGGACATCACCAATACCCCCCCACCCCCACCCCTTATCACCTGGGTCAACCTTGGACCTCACCACTACCCCTCCCTTATCGCCCGGGTCCACCTTGGACATTACCAGTACCCCTCCCTTATCGCCCGGGTCCACCTTGGACATCACCAGTACCCCTCCCTTATCGCCCGGGTCCACCTTGGACATCACCAGTACCCCTCCCTTATCGCCCGGGTCCACCTTGGACATCACCAGTACCCCTCCCTTATCGCCCGGGTCCACCTTGGACATCACCAGTACCCCTCCCTTATCGCCCGGGTCCACCTTGGACATTACCAGTACCCCTCCCTTATCGCCTGGGTCCACCTTGGACATCACCAGTACCACTCCTTTATCGCCCGGGTCCACCTTGGACATTACCAGTACCCCTCCCTTATCGCTCGGGTCCACCTTGGACATCACCAGTACCCCTCCCTTATCGCCGGGGTCCACCTTGGACATTACCAGTACCCCTCCCTTATCGCCCGGGTCCACCTTGGACATCACCAGTACCCCTCCCTTATCGCCCGGGTCCACCTTGGACATCACCAGTACCCCTCCCTTACCGCCCGGGTCCACCTTGGACATCACCAGTACCCCTCCCTTACCGCCCGGGTCCACCTTGGACATCACCAGTACCCCTCCCTTACCGCCCGTGTCCACCTTGGACATCACCAGTACCCCTCCCTTACCGCCCGGGTCCACCTTGGACATCACCGATTTACACTCCTCCCCCAACCCTATCACCCGGGTCAACCTGCTTGTTTGTTTTTTTTTCCCTGCGGTTTTTAAAGAAATGTGGGAAATCTGTCTGTATTGCAGAGATGTACATAAGGCGTGTTTGTGGATAATATATATTCTTTAAATATTCTATGTTTATATGAGTGTGTTGTATGTTTTGCATATATTTACAAATTGCCCTTTTTGTATTACTTTATCGGGACTTCTTTTCTTATGTTCTTTCTTTTAGTGCACTTCTTCCATCTGACAAAAAGATCGTCATTACTCAACATTTAGAGGAACTGCAGAAGATTTCTACGGCGCTGACTGAGCTTAAAGAAGAGGTGCGGCTTTGCATGGTTTCGTATATGTATGCTGTATAACATGTTATTGTTAATACCGTTCCTACCTCATACAAGTATATGCCGGTGTGCACACTTGTCTGTTGTTGCCTTCTGGTACTCATCACAGCTACGTGATCGGCCTTTGCTTGTATGTAACAGGTGTAAGGGCCCCTTCACACCAGTTGCAGTGCGTTTCGGCCCAATTCTGACCATAACACATTGCGGCCGGCTCACTTTTTAGTGGGGTAGGCGGGGGCCATTCAATTGAATGGCACCGTTGCCGCGCCCTCTGGCCGCAATGCGATCGCCCGCACGGGATCACAAGGCACATTGTGCCTGCAGTGTGGTCCGGTGTCATCAAAATGCTGCCAGCACTACTTTGATCACACCGGACCAAAGGCACAATGTGCCTTGCGATCCCGTGCGGGCGATCGCTTTGTGGCCGGAGGGTGTGGCTACGGTGCCATTCACCTCAATGGCCCACCACGCCCCCTCCTTCCCCACTAAGAAGTGAGCCGGCCGCAATGCGAGGCAGTCCGTTCTGGCCAGAATTGGGCCGGAACGCACTGCAAATGGTGTGAACGGGCCCTTAAGGGACCCTTCAGGCAAGAGGAAGAATTAAAGTGATGTTAAACCTTCTTTTTATGGTTAGAAGTCATACTTTCATGATGCTGCCCTTCATGAACCACTTGCTGCGGATGGCCGTACATATACGGCCGGCCACTGAACTGGTTATACCAAGAACACAGTTGGTGCTGCAGCCGTGTTCTTGGTATCGCTGTAAACAGCAGGCAATTGCCGTTCAGATACAAGCGATCCGGTGATTATATAGCTGCCAGATCACTTGTACCGATCAGCAGAGTGTGCTGTCCCCGGGACCAGCATGGCGTGTCTCCCTGCATCAATCGGAGAGAGATCGGCAGACTTCTAGCCACTGAGCTCTCCTCCGATCAAAGGACCCGGAAGTGATGTATATTAGATAACTTCTGGTGTCTCTGTAAATTCTCTGGCTCAGATCTCGGCTTCATCTGCTTCTCTGGGGTCCCTAGGTGATATTAGGGGTCTGAAAGACCCCTGATGTCTCCATAAAGAGGACTTGTCATATCATATTTGCTATTACATAGGGGGCTTGCTTGACGCCATCTTTTATCATAGATCACTATTGACTTTAGGTGAAGCATTCCCAAGTGTGCTGTGTGCATAGCGGACGCCTATAGAAATTGGTGTGACCCTTCAGAGAGCTGTACAGAAATGATTGTGGAAATTGTAGATTTTGTTCTTTTTCGCATGTTTTTTAATATTTTGCTTCTTTCTCTTTTTTCTATGGCAGTGCACCTTCCTCTGCAGCTCTGAGCCCGGCCGTGAAACCATCATACAGACTTTGAAGTTGGCGATGACAGACTTCCACCAGCTCATTGCCGCTTTCACTCAGGTTTATGAGAATGAATTTCAGGAGCACTGCAGTCACCCAGCACCTCGCCTCAGTCCCTGCGGTCCTCTATTCCAGTCTGTTCACCGCTTGCTGGGTAGCTGTAGCAAGGTCATTCAGTGTTTTCTACATTTGTATTCCTTTCCGGTGTCATCTTCTGACTGATCTCAGGCTTTTCTATAGCGATGATAGAGATCTCATTCACTGTATGTTCCATTGTCATTGTTAGGAGCTGGAGGCTATCGCCCAGTTTACAGCGACCTCGGACACCATAACGGAGCTGGTGAGGAAGAGGCAGCAGTCTAAAGAGTCCTGGGGAGGAGGCAGCGTGGCGACGCTACGTAAGTAAGACAAAGAGAAATGTTTTGGGGAATAGTTTGGTTGACTCTTTCTGACATACAGTATATCAGGGCTCAAAATTTCAAGTCCTGAGCTACGAGCCAGGCCTTAAAAGTTACTCGCCACCAGTTGCCCCACCTAACCCCCTACCCTGCCCCGGCTGTAACTCCGCCAGGTCAGCGGTGTGATGCACAGTACAGAAGTCAGTGGTGCAATGCCGAATATAGAGGTCAGTGATGTAACGCACAGCGCAGAGGTCAGTGATGTAACGCACAGCGCCGAGGTCAGTGTGACGCACAGCGCAAGGAAAAAAGAAAAGGGACTTGCAGTGCACTTAGCAGTGCACTTTTCTCCGGGGGGGGGGGTTAGTGAGCAGTCGTGGCTCTGAAATTAAACAGTTGCTGGGACAAGCTTGATCTCAATTAAGCGGAAGTCAAGGGCCTACATGTAGCCTGAGATCCAAGGAGAGCCACAGGGATCAGGCTACATGTAGTCTACTCCTCAGTAGTGACGGGCTCAGGCGCGTTCGCAGCTCCACGTGCCGAGCCCGCCAGGAAGCTGGCAGCGCCAATCACAGGCACCGAGACATTTCCCGATCTCTGCAGCTGCGGACCGGCATAATGTCTCAGTACCTGTGATTGGCGCTGTCGGCACGTGGAGCTGCAAACACGCCCGAGCCCATCACTACTCCTCATTAGGGAAGTATGGCCTTCTCCGTGCCAGTGTCCTAGTCGCAGACCTCCAACAAACCTGTTGTAAATGAGTGTCAGCATTCCTTATCGCTCTGTGTCCAGGTCAGTGACTCGGGAAGCAATGAAGCCAAAGCCTCAGTGTGAAAGCCAGAGAACTAGTATCCTCAAAAGGAAAGCTCAGCAGTGTCAGTGTCCATGCTGGCGGGAGAGGTTTAGGGGAGGGCAAGTTCACTTTTTAACCTCCCTGGCGGTCTGATTTTTCTTTTATTATTCTTTCCCGCCGGTTCCGCGGACGCTCGCAAGGGGCGGAAGACAGATACTGGCATCGGTCGGAGGACACAGTGCGGCTCCAGGGGCAAGGTAAGTAACGCTAAACTGTAATCCAGAGTGTGGCTCGGGGTTACCGCTTATAGTGCTGATAATTAACCCCCG